TCCTCTGCTTCAAGGACAAGCAAATTTCTGACTTACTATGCCTGCTTTGCCTTTTGTTTTTTACTAGGACACGAAGATCCAGGCACCAAACATCAAATTAAAAAACAGGTTGCTAGGAGCACATATGGAACAAATTTGTTTATGGTTCCAATACTGAATAGGCAGTTCCTCCACATAAAAATGTGCTCCTGGTTACCATTTTTAACCTTTGGCACTTTAATTTATGGGGTGGGGGGAATCATTTTGTTGTTGCTATTGATAAAAAAAAATGAGACTCAGAAACCCTTTCTGGTGTACTGCACCCATCCAGAGATCAACCAGTATAGCAGATCTTAATCTGCCTTCAGCCCATCGGAGAGACCCTGTGATTTATACTACTGCCCCCTGGCGGTCACTGCAAACAACTGCTGTCCATCTGCTACCCTCCAACCAATGCCATCTGACCAAACATGCAAGGCCAACGTAACAGATGTTCAGGGGTTATAGCCAGATGGAACAGTCCTTAATATTAGGGGAGTGGTGGTGAGTGTTGGGCCTGTGGGATCTGGGTTCTAGTCCTTACTAGGCCATGAAGCTGACTGGGTGACTTTGGGCCAATCGCAGACTTAGTCCAAACTACCTCACAGGATTGCTATTGTGAGGATAAAATGCAGCTATGTAAGCCACTTTGGGTTCCTCAAAAGAGGGGAAAAGGTGGGCTATAAATGCAGAGGAAGAGAAGCAGGAGAAATTTCTAGAAGACCGGGAAGAGAGGGAACTTTCCCTCCTCTTCTTATCGATGAAGAGATTCAAATTCTACGCCACAAAGCTGTTCTGTAGTTGCAGTGCGTTTTGCATTCCAGTATGTAAAATTGATGATATCCCATCACAATAGGAGGCAGCAAGTGAAGACAATTGGAGAAGGCAGAGCTCACCAACGCATTAGCATAATATATGCACTGTGTAACTTCAACAGAGGCACAGAATGTGGCAGCCAGTTCTGAATCCAGGGTCCTGAGAACCTCAGCTTTCATGCAAACAGCAATGAGAACTATATCCTACTGCTCCTGGCTGCAAAGATAGGCATCTCTGTATGTGAGCGATGAGTCTGCTGGGTCTCAGAAGCTGGGGGTGGAACTTCAGTGTTTTTGCCTTCATATTTTTGCCAGACCTAGTAGGTATCCAAGGTCATTCTGAATTGGAGAATTATGCCCAAAGAAGTTAAATATGTTTATATAATGAATTATTTCTCTTAGTAGAGATTTGAATTTTCTGAGCAAAGAATTTTATTTCTAGATCTACAGCTTATTCCTTTGTGCCACAACCGCAAGGTGGAAGCCCAATACTGTTGTTGTGGTTTGTGCTGTCATCTCCAACTAATGGCAACCCTATCAGTGAAAGCCCTCCCAAATGGCCAGTCTGTGACACCTCTGTCCAGTTCTTCCATGTTCAAGACTGTGGCTTCCTTTATGGATTCAATCCATCTCATATTTGGTCCTCCATTCCATCTTCTGCCTTTCACTTTCCCTAACATGATTATCTTCTCCAGTGAGTCTTGCCTTCTTATAATGCGCCCGAAGTATGAAGCCTCAGTGTCATCATTTTTGCTTCCAGGGAAAGCTCTGGCTGATCTGATGTAGGACCACTTGTTTGTCTTTCTGTCCATCCAGGGTAATGACAAAGTTTTCCTCCAGCATCATGTTTTGAACACATCAATTTTCTGTCACTTTTCACACCCATATACTGTGATTAGGAATACAAGTGTCTGTGATCCTGACCTTGATCTCTAGTGAAATGTCCTTAACACAAAAGAAACATCCTCTTTTCTAGTTCCTTCATTGCTGCCCTTCCAAGTCCCAGTTGTCTTCATATTTCTTGGCTGTAGTCTCCCTTTGAATTGATGACTGAGCCAAGATATGTGAAATCTTTCACAATTTTAATTTCTTCGTTATTAACAGTAAAGTTCAGTAATTCTTCTATGGGCAAAATTCTTGTTTTCTTAATATTCAACTGCAGTCCTACTTTTGTACTTTCTTTCACTTTTATCACCAGTTATGTGATCTTCAGCTACTGGATAATGTAAAAAAGTGGGACGTTTCATTGTCTAGCAATCAGGCTTAAATGGAGCAGGCCATTCAGACTAGGGGCAGTGCCATCACTTTATCCCACAATGGTGTTGGTACGTTTCCTGTTTATGGTCTCTTACTCTGAAAATCTGCAGAACATTTTCCTTAATCACATGCATTTCCTTATATGCTCACCCTACCCTCTTGCAAAATACACGACAGGATACACCATCTGCTTTTCCCAATTCTGAGAAATGCAAATCTGTATTAGTACACTCTGCACTGTTCTCCCATTCAGGCTGTTTGGCTTGCCGAGCAAATGCTTCAAACAGTGGCTAGTTTCTCTCATATCCACCACTGTAGCCTTCATTTACCTACTTAGGTGTTGCCACACTGGCTGGTTTCAAACAACACAATAACCTTCATTCAAGGATTGAGTATGGAATCTTGCTGAACCATGAGTTGTTGTGAAAATGTGGGTTCTCAAGTTGTCTGAATCCAGCTGTGCTAATAAGCCATTGTTTGTTAACCATTAAAAACCATGAAGGGAATTTGACTTGCTGCTGAATCATGAACTGTGGGTTGTTCTCCATGGTTTATTAACCTGCCTGGGTTTAAGCAACACAATAACCCATGTTTCTAACAACAGCCCGCACTCAATCTTTTAGAGTCTGTCTGCACTGCAGCAGGGTAATTCCTCTGGACAAGAATTCAGTGTGAGGCATCAAAGGGCATAAAGCAGTCTGCTCTTCCTATAGCAGTGGTGGCAAACCTATGGCACATGTGCCACAGCAGGCACGCAGAGCCCTTTCTGTTGGCACGTGAGCCAAATCGCCCCAGCATTACCCCAGCAGCAGAGCATCAGATAACAGTGCACATAGGGGCTATGTGCATGCTTGGAAAGGAGTGGTGGTGCCAAGCAATGACATCACAAACCACGACACATTCGCTGTGACTCATCCGAGCTTTTGCATGGCTGGTCAGTCAGTTGCTTGGACTGGCTGTTTTCAGGTTTTATTGCAGTGTTGGCACTTTGTGATAAATAAGTGGGTTTTGGGTTGCAGTTTGACCACTCGGTCTCTAAAAGGTTCGCCATCACTGTCCTATAGGTTTCAGTGCATGGCTGCTCTTAGCTGAAACTAGGCGACTTGTGGCTGTTGAATACCTTAAGACATAAGTAGGCCAAGGAATGCCGTAAAGCAGGACTTAACTAAGAGGGATGAACCAGTTTAAAGGGTCGGGTTCGGGTTAGCACAGCCTGCCAGTCTGATCCAGCACAGTCTGCCAGGATTAAGTGTTAAGAGTGTCTTCTAGTGGTGGGAGGGCAGCTACTTTGGTTTTTTGTGGAAGTATATTCTACACTTTGCATTGCCATTGGGAAGCAGTACAGCTGGTCTACAATACCGCTAGGAGCTACAGACAGATCTAAGCAGAACACTCTTACCCCATTAATAATAGCTCGGTGCTGAACTAATTTTTACATAATCTCTGCACAATTATCATCTGTGATTTTTCTGCAAGAAAAATTTTGTTGCCATCTTTGCTTGCCTCCAAGAACTCTGTCACTGAGTGTTTACATATTGTATCTTTAGCTGACATGCACTGATGATTTAAAATCCAAATACTTTTAAACCCATTTCCCTGCCCTAGCTGTGTTATTTCTTTAGATTCTTGCCAAATGTCAACTGACCATTCCTTAAATTATAACCTTCCTTCCATTTGTTATTTATAACTAACTTGTTCTTATGGAGCTGTATCTTTTCACTCCAAATCTCCAATAGTCCATCAATCAGTTACCACCAACATTATTAGAAAATATCAAAATATTATTTTGGAAAATGAAATGGAAACCTTAGGCTCATAGGGAAAGAACCATAGCAGGCTACATTACTTTGCAGAAGAATATAAATTATATTATTTAGAATTTCACTTCTGTGCTGGAATCTGGGGACTCCTGGAGCACCAGCCTTTCTCCCATTCAACATACTGGAATAAATTATTGCTTGCTTCCAATCACCAAGCAACATTTAAACACTTTTTTCCTATTATCTTGTCAGATGAGTGATTGGCTCCGGTTAATTCAGCAGCAGCAATTTCATGATTATTTCAATTTTCACAACTTTTCTGGAAAGAGGAAACAGCCACAACAGTTCTCTCACCATGATGCTCTGTAGCTGTCAGCCTCTAGGATGACATTCAGTGGGTGCAAAAATATCTGGTCAAAATCACACTGTGCAAGGAAAACTTTGGTTTGTGTCTAATGTTTTGCCTACTGTCTCTGGTTTTTTTCTGCACAGCACATATGGCCGCTCAGACAGGAACATCCTTCTATAAGAGGTGCTTTCAAGCAACAAGCATAACTCTGTGTTCAAACTGAGCTAGCCACTTCAGCAAGGAGCTGTGAAGCTTAGGTCTCCTCTCCCAGAACAGAGTCCAAATCCCTCTGAGTGCCCCCACGACACATGCACCTAGGTAAAGACCTTGTTTATCTCTGGGAGAGAAGCAGTCACATGAGCTGCCAGAGGACCCAAGGGAAAGGAACAGGTGGGAGAAGCTATGTCATTTCCAATTTCACCTGGGATTTTTCAGGTACCCACAGCTGCCTCAGGTTATAGCCTGGCATTGTTCAATGTGAACGCAAAGGGTCTCGGTGCTACTGCTCCAGGGGGCACACATGAAATCCTCAACATCTCCCCGTGAAGTATCCAGAGGTATGGGGCACATCAATCCATTTCATACATGCTTGTGTTTGGGAACCCATTCCCACTCGGGAGGGATAGATGTTGCTTCCAAGAATCTGCACCTGTGAGGAGTGTGAGGAGCTGTTAAGAGAGGCAAACCAGGACTACTGGTACCACAGGCAACCTGATCAACACCACAGGCTCACGCAGGACAAGTACTTGTGACTGCTATTTGCACTCATTCATTTTAGGGGAGAGAAAAAAAAAACAGACGGCAAATGCAGCATTTTTTTATCAAATAGGTTCTACTTTTGATTCGGTTCCAACTGGGGGCAGGAGGGGCACAAAGGGCTTTCCTTCATTGTGGATCTCCACGTCTGCCTTGCTGGGCTCTCTCAAATTCCCCAGTTAATGCACGTGACAGGAAATGATCTGGCCCCAAACCAAGGACAAAGATGTCCAGCCAGGAGCAGGGTCAAGAACACAAGACTGGACTCAGTAATAAAAAGTATCAGTTGTTTTTCCTTGAGGCTAGTGCAATCCCACCAATCTTTTGACTTCAAGATACACAGGTGCTGCGAGTTCTTTGGCTTTTTCTGCTCCAGTCTGTAGCACCTTCTCCAGGTAAGATCTGTCTTCTTTTAGTCTCTTGAATTCACTCCTGATTGGTGCAAGTTTTTCGATTACTGCCTCCGCTACCACCGCTTTGTAATGAGCAGTATCAAGGCCAATACTCTGGTGAACCACTTCCTCTTTGCTGAGCCCTGCTATGGCAGAGTGAATGGCCACGAGATTGGAGACACCAGGGCGGTGGTCTGGCTCATAGGTCACCTCAGAGGTAAAGTCAGTGACTGCCTTGCGAAATTTCAGCTTTATCTCATCAGGGCTGTCTGTTATGGCCACTGTGGCTAATCTCTGAGGATCTGATTTTGACATCTTGGATGAAGGATCTCTGAGGGACTTCACCTTCTTCGCTGGAGCTAAAATCAAGACAGAAGGGTCCACAGGTGAGCTGTGCAATGCAGTGGCTGGCTAGCAGGAAGGCTGTGCTTCATATCTTATCTCTACCTTGAATTCATTAGGTGGCCTTAGGCAAGCCACTCTCTCAGCCTCAAGTTCAGCCACACCCTGCAATCCAGGGACAGTACTGATTAGTACTGACCCTCTTTACAGGGTTGCTCTAAGGATTATAAGGAACTGTGTAAAATTTATGTTAACATAATTTTGATATAAATAACGCATACAATAAAAGCAATACTGTATTACCTAAAACAAAGAGTAAGGTATCCCTTCTCTGCATGTCTAGAGTAAAGTATATATGTTTTTGTTACGCATATATGTATTATGTGTTTCACATGCAAAACCCAAAACATACTTAATAATTCTTCCACATATTCTGTCTGTCTGTGTGTGTGTGTGAGAGAGGGAGAGAAAGCGAGTATAATAACTAAATCAGGTTACTGAAAAACAAAATGGCATATTTTATACATTGTTTTACTTCTGCAAATAATTTTTAATAAAGCATGCCAATTTTTTCCCAACTGAATCCCCTTTTTGCTTTTTTCTTGCTTTTTAGTATGTGTTAATTTTGCCATAACAACAAAATCCCATTATTTTATTCAGCTATTAATCTCTCAAAAGTTTTATTTGCACTCTCCACTTCTTTTTGTATTAAGCATTCTTGCTCCAGCCATCATATAACATGCCAATTCCTTATTTTTCTTGAATAACAAATCCATTTCTAAAATTAAGATGAAGAAAGGCATCTAACAGGATTTCACAGCCTTGTATTTTCTCCTTGGTTATACTAATCATCCTCCTATGCACACACACTGCTAAAGAACTTTCCCACCAATAAAAAGTCATTTAATTGCTGAAAATGCCAGAAATAATAAATTTTATTATTTTACCTAACATTGTATTACCACTGTGTCTTCTACTCAGTCCAGACTTTCTCTGACTGGGGTGTTTAATGAAAAGTGGTGACTTCTTTAAGGGTCTCTTTTTTCATTTCATTTCATTTCATTTCATTTCATTTCATTTCAATATCACCCCAGAGCTGAAGCTCTCTAGGTGGTTAGTCTTTCAAAGTATTCTTTAGCAAGACATTATTCCTTCAATAGCTGAAAAGTATAAAAGCCACAAATACTCATTGTACTATTAGAATTGTTCACCTAAGGTACCACAAGACTATTCAATGTTTTTGAAAATTTTCTCTACTACTTTAGGTCAGATTTTTAAGCAACAGATTTTACAAGGACGTATGTTCTGAGCCTACTTTTGGACATTAAGAAAATGAACAATAACATTGTTTTCCCACCAGTAAAAAGTATACAGTATTTTTACTGGTAGGGGAGTTTTTATATAAGTATCAAGGATCTTATATGGCCTTCTACAACTGGCCCAGTGGGATGCACAGTATTCTTGAGAGTGGTGAGGGCTGCTGAAATGTCTCAAAGACAGCAGAAGAACAAGGGGCCTGCCTTTAATACTAGAACTGTAGGCACCAGAAATGTGGAATGGTTAACCCCACTCCCAAACTCAATTTCTCAACATCAACCTCCCCTTTTATTTGTGTACATTTTTATTCTGCTCTTTCTTATATAGATGCTCTCCAAGCAGAACCACCTTCCCCAACTTTCAGCCATTTGTGGCAGGTTTTACTTTTCTTACTCACTCAAAATGGCTTTGGGAACCGGAAAGAATTCCCCGTATTTCTTGTTGAAGCGCCGGGCAGTATCTTGGGTCAGCTCCAAGTGAAGGACTTGGTCCTCTCCCACAGGTACATGCGTTGACCTTCCAATAAAGAACACACATGGGTGTGTATTGTTTTCGCTCAAGCTATTTCATTAGGACTGATGAACTAAATGTTAAAGTGACAATTATATCATCACTAAGCAGGCTTCCATTCCCAGTTACTTGGCTATTCATTCCCTTTTTATGTATCAAAGCAACTTTATCTGCAAGCAAATGACATATGTATTCTTACTTGTAAAGAAGAATATCAGCAGCCTGAAGGACAGGATAGGTGAACAGGCCAACTGTTCCTTCATTCATTTGGTTGGCATTCTTTATCTATTTGCATAGGAAAAGAAAACATAATATCTTTATGACAATAATTTTGCACACACTAAACTGTTCTTTCATAAACTTAAGATGTAAAATATTGCTTAGTAAGTTAAGCGTAGTCCAGGAAAGTAGTTAAAACATTATTTGCAGCACCTTCCTTTTAAAAAAGATACAGCATCCAACTAAGGCTCAGTTCTGAGTATATATCTCCTTGGAAGCTGAGGTCATCTTCAGGGGTCTGTCTGTGGAAGACCCTTCCAAGGAAGCAAGGTAGGTGGCTACTAGGGGGAGGGCTTTTTCATTTGTGGCACCCCGAGTTTGAAATGAGCTTCCCAAAGGGAGCTCATGTGCTTGGTGCCTACTTATTTATTTTATTTATTTATTTAGGGGACTTCTATGCCGCCCCATTCGCCGAAGCCTATTTCAGCTTCATACTGGTGTTACATCAACAGTCAGAGTGGTAAATAAGGGGCCACTCATTAGGACACACCCTACTATGACGGGGAAACTGGAAACTTAGTTGGGTTGCATTTCTGCTTCCTCATTTTTACAGAAGCACCTTTTCAGCCTCCTGGGTTGAAGTGGGGGAGGTGGAGGTCAGAGATTTCAGAGTGTGCCATGGCCCTGTTATCACAGAAGCAGCAAACTGCCTGTAGTCCTCTGAAAGTATCAGGAAACGGTGATTTGGAATTTTTTTTGCTGTGAGAAAAGATGAGGTGCAATCTAGTCCTGCAGGTGGAACAGTTCATGATTCAGTGAAGTCCTGTTCTTCCATGTATCTATCTGTGCACATAAAGGCCTCCCAAGAAGTACAACAGGCCACTGGGGGCAAGGGGACATGTAGTTCCATCTAGCCCCCTTTGCCCTCTGCTTGATGGAAGTCACTCATGTTCCTGTCATTGTAACTTGTCCAGAACAGAGAGGAATGGCTAGACGGGAATATGAGAGAGACTTCCCTGGCCAGTTTAGCCTTACCTTCCACTGGGGAAAGTGCTGCAGACGTGGAATGCTGGTGAAACACCCCAGAATCCAGCTGAGCTCTGCATGTTCAGGCACCTGAAATAAATATGAAATCATGTACAGTGTGTTTTCGCACAAGCACAGTATTAGTAGAGAGCCCCACCTCCAGACAAGGCAAACAAGTGTATAAACACACCAAGTTACCTTACTGACCTAGTCTGACAGTTAGGCACATGCCAAGAGCTCCACTTCCTGGTTTGTAGTCATCGTAATTTGCCTGACTCACCCATTTATTTATTTATTTATTTAAAAAATTTCTATGCCGCCCCCATCACAACAAAGCCTCAGGGCGGTTCACAGCATAATTAAAACATATAAATAACAATTTATACAATTAAAGATTAAAAAGCCCGGTAACATCTCGGTTTAAAAATTTAAAATCCTATAAATACATAAGTTAACAATTAAAATAAGTTTTAAATAAAAAGGTCTTAGCCTGGCGCCGAAAAACAAATAACGATGGTGCCAGGCGGGCCTCTCTGGGGAGCACATTCCATAGGTGGGGTGCCACTGCAGAGAAGGCCCTTCTCCGGGTACTCATCCTCCTAATATCATTCACGGAGGGTTCCCGGAGAAGGGCATCTGTTGCCGATCTCAAGGGGTGGGAGGGCATATATGGACACAAGCGTTCCTTTAGATAACCAGGTCCCAAGCTGTTGAGGACTTTATAGGTCATAACCAACACCTTGAATTGGGTCCAGACTTCAATCGGGAGCCAGTGAAGCTGACGGAGAACTGGGGTTATATGAGAACAACGCCCAGTCCCCGTCAGCAGCCTGGCAGCTCTATTTACTTAATTCAGGCAGCACTTTCAACCAAGGTATCAATTGCTGAAGCACAAACCCAGTGTCAACAAAGCAAGTTTCAGATATGACAGAAGCCAAGACAAGCAGATAAAAGAGCCAAGCAGTTCTACAAAAAGACAAGAGCAAAACTAACGTGTTCACAAGAAGGGCCAAAACAAAAGCAAGGATCACACACCCCCTTTTCCTCTTGACATTCTGTACAGGCCCAGGACTGTTTGTTTAATTTCTATACCTTCTAACAGCTGAAGCTCTCTGGGAAGTTCACAAAGCAGCACTGTTGAAATAATCCATTCATGACTAGATGGTCTTTCAATGAGATGCATCATTAAAGACCAGTGTAGCACTCTTTTATACCTAAAGATCCTCCAAGCAGTGGAAAGTGAGATACAAGACAATGACTTGCACATTCCAGTACTATAAAGTCAGCCTTTCATTTGTTTTTCTCTAATCATTGCCTGCCTCAGTACTGCAGAAGTGCTTTGTCCCTTTCCCTTAGGAAAGGCAAAGGACACGTTTGCAGCCTTAAAAGCATCTGTGAAATTGCACTCTAGTCTACCAGACTAGATGAGTTCAAATGCACCAGATTCAAATCTGAGTGGAACAACGGCATCGTTCTCTCTTCCAGAACAAACACACCTCCAATATTTCATCAGACTATCCAGCACCACTCCTCAACACATAATCTCCACCCAAAAGACTTCTAGCATCGTCCTTTGTTAGAAGCACTGAATGCCACTTGCTGATAGCTGGCCCATGTGAAAGGTACAACTGAAACGGCAGCAATTTACCAAGCCAGTGAAAGAGGCCAATTGAACAGATGCTTCACCTTTATTAAGGGCCTGCATTAGTGCTGGAGACTGCCTATTCCAGACAGTTGAAGACAGTGGAGTGAATGTGCATTGCCCTCTGCAGTGCGTGATCATTCAATTCTTGTATCTGTTCAGACATTTCTCAGGTTCTTTGTTTCAGGTTCTTCAGAGCTTTAAATACGTGTAAATTCTGTTTGACCAGAACAGCCATGGAACAAAGTGAAAATGTTTTATTATACCATGTTTAAATTAAAAGATTAAATGGATTAAAACCATTATCAGTCTCCAACATGTGATGCCAAGAAACAGCTGGATGCATCTATGTTTTGGTTGCTGCAGGAAATCTAACTAAGCTAAAGAAGAGGGGATTGTAGATGAGCTACTTGAATGCACCAATGACCTGTCAAAAAACAACAGCTATAGATAAACTTTCTGTCCTCATGGTTCTGTGTATCACACATAAGGGCAGCTAGCAAGTGTTGGGTAGGTTCCTCAAACATGGATCAAAGAAAAAATGCCTCACCAAAGGAAATGTCAGTTCATGTTCTGATGCCTAATATTTGATGAGGGAAAGCGGTGGGTTGCAGCCACATAGTAGTATGGTATAGGTCCAGAGTCAGCATGCCTCTCAAGGAAGTTACTGATGCTGACAACATTTGAGCAGAATGTGCTGTAACAGGTCCAGTAATAAAGCATCTATGGGTCAAGTAACTTCCATCACCCATGCAGAGAAGGGTTGAGAAGAAACTGGAAATCATTATGCTATCTTTCTTATGGTAAGTGCGATCTCCAGGATTTCAAAAATCCCCCATCACAGGTCATGTGAAACACAAATGTTCATCTAACTTTGAGGCAGTGGAAAGCCAATTCCAAGAGAGTTGTTCGATCTGGAGAAAGGGCTAGCAAAGGTCCTGACTGGGGTTGAACACAAATACCATCTTGGACAGGAAGAGTATGTCCAGTCATAGTGCAACCCTGTCTAAAGGAAAGATACGGTGGTCCATGCGATGAACACAGAGCTCGCTAATTAATAAGCCAAGGTAATGGCTACTAAAAATGTCATCTTCAGGTCAGAAAGTGAAGATCACTGAAAACTCAAAAGTTCTAGGCATTAATGCCTTCAGCACCATGGAGAGGTTATATGCTGGGTGTTGGATAAGCTGAAAAGTCTCTTGAAAAACTGCTTGATCAAAGACATTGAGAACAACAGGACCTCTGCAACTACTGTAGGGCTTGCTGAAATCACAGTCAAATAAAATTGAAGGAAAAAACTAACTTTTCAAATGGAAGGAAAAAAGACACTGTAACACATGGTGCAACGGGCATAAAAATGGATTGATGCCCTGGTTACAGGCATAACCAGAAGAAAAAAAACATTGTAGGATTTGTGGAATGCAGGTTTTCAGGATGCTTACAGAGTTCAATTTACTTCTGGTGGCATGGTAGCCACATGTAATTACCTGAGTAATCAGAGAGAAAGGTGGAAAGATGTAAAGGAGTATCGCATCCCATTACTAAACAAATCTATTTCCCCGCAATTCCACATATGATCCAGCCTTGCCACAAATCTTGTGACATTAGCTGTACAGCACCATAGCAAATACATTCAACTGTGGGTGCCTGCAGGACAGGCAGCGGAGAAAAGGGAGTGGCAAGTGGAAGTGGCAGCCACAGCAGTGGCTACCATCTATGCAGGTATCTTCTGGACACTGGCAGTGGGGCCTCCTTTTGCTGTGACATGTGCTTGGCCAATGCAAGCAAGCGATCGGATGCTAAGCACGCCAATCAGTGTTCCAATCCCAAATGACCACAATGAACTGGATCCGTCAGGCTGGTATCAAGTGCAGCTTGTCTAGTCTGACCAACAGAGCTAGCGTATCAAGAAGTTGCAGTGCCAGAGCAAGGGACTGGGTGAGCATGCCAAGAGCGGTATCATTGGGGCCTAGCTGTCAATGTATGAGGCTGACAACATTCATTGGGATGAACAAGGAGCTGAGATAAACAGTATGCATTCGATGAATTCTTGGGGTACAGTAGTGAGGAATTCAGAATTGTGGTTAATATTTATGTTGACTCATGTCACCAAGTAAGATTTCTTTGTAATGCCAAGTAATTTCATGATGTTCTTTCCCTGAAGGCATAAGTGTCTCCCTTCTTCAACAATGTCTGAATCTCATCCTGCAAAGGAGTTGAGGGAAATATTTAAATAATGCCTACGCAGGAGTGGAGAGGAACCCTGTAGATAATAATAGGCAAAACCCAAATGTCCAATCTTACTTGCAAAGATATGAGACAATGGAACAATTAGGGCCCAAATTGAAGGTGGCCAGTCTGGGATTCAGAAGACATGAAAACAGTTTTTTAAAAATGCTACTTAGAGAGCTCACCCAACTTCTTGCAGCTGGTGAGATGGCTGCTGGAAGTATTCAGCCCCAGAAGACCAAAGGTGTGAGGATATGCAGTGTTTGCTTTTACTAACTCAGCATGTTAGTAAATATACTGGAGTCCTCTTTTGAAAGTGGTCCATGTTCTCTTCCATCTTTAGCGTTGACAAGATCTTCACCATCAAAAGGAAGGTTCCCCCCCCTACTTTTTTTTTTTTTTTTTTTGCACAATCTGGTTTTCTGCAGGATTACAGAGAGGATCTTTACACAGAGGGTTTTTTTTTAAGTTCTGTGTTAATGGGCTTTCAGCAAGAAAATCCAAAGCACTCCCCCTGTTCTTCCGGGGCTGGGCAGCTGAACACACTAGGGTACATCAGAAGACTCATCTTGATTGGTGGAAGCTTATCAATTATTCTTCTTTGAAAGGAACCCTTGTAAAGAAATGGTCTACCACAAGAAAAACACATCCCCCTTCCAGGTCCATAACAGAGTCACAGTTCACCATATAAGGGGAGTATTGATTTGCTTCTTGAGGAGTGTAGTGGCTTTCACCTGAAACATGCTGGCCAGCTCAGTATTATATTTGGCAAGGTGTTTCAAATAATGTGCCATTTTTTCCAACAGAAAAAGCTTGTACCAGGCCCTATACAGCTAGTAATTGGAAACCCTTAACTTGAGTGCTGCTGAGAACACAGTTTACAAAGTGTTTGGTTTCCTGCCCTCCTCTACTGTAGCTTTATGGGCCTTTTACAACTTTTCTTCGGAAAGCTGGAGACAGGATGCAGGAACAGAAAACCATACTCTTCCTCCTTTTGCACTTGGCAGAACTGAATGAAAATTGCAGGACTAGTTGCCTCATATGTAGGGATCAAGACTGCCAAATTTCAGAGTGATAGCTGCGGGAATTTTACTGCAAAAACTTAACATATAATGCCTCCAAAAGAGGATGTATTTATCCCTTGCGGGCCATTGTTCTGAAAACAGACAGACTGGAGGTATACATCTGTAAGAAACCTGTAAAGTTTCAGAAAGAAAGG